TGAGGGTGGCGTGAGGCTATGGTGCGTGAGGCTACGTACGAAGCTGTACAGAGAGCCTCGGGTCTGCTCGTGCACAGGATGTGTGCCACGCTAAGGAGGTTGCACTTTGACTCCAACCATACTCCCAGTTTTAAATCCTTATAGTTTCAATCCAACATAATGATGTTTTAAACTAAAACAGTTAGAAAGAGTGTCAATTTTAAGTTTCAGTTGTCTTGAATATCTTAAGGTACTCACTGCTCCTTTGGACTAAAAGCTGCATGAGGACAGAAATTAAATTACTTCCTCACCAAAGCACCTACTCTGATTCAATTCATCCAACGGTGGACCCACAAGAGATAACCAAAGGGCTCATTTCTACCACAAGACTTACTACTAAGTATTTAATTTCCCACAGTGTTCGAGTAGATATTGTATCAAAAACACTACACAGATCTGTTCTCTGATCTCTAAAAGCTTACAGTCTAAGACATAACAGTTGTTATTATTCTTAATTTTCAGAACTGAAATGTCATTGCTCTGTGTGACAGATTGAGAAACAAACTAATCATAAAAAGGCCATAAAAGCTAATAACCGAAGGAAGTAAGTGTACTAAAATAAATCAATGTAAAATTATAAATGATCAGAATTTTCAGTTGTTTGTTATGATTTATTTTATGGAGTTGAGAAATCTATTAACCTTTTGACATGGGAAGATGGAATTCACTAGTTGAGTTAGAAGTTCTACTTTCATTGTCATGCAGATTGATAATATTTACAACTTAGACATCACCCTCTTTCAAAATAGTGCCAACACTTTGATAAGTTACTGAGGTGTGATGGGAAAACACCATCTACTGTTAATCTTCGTGTGGTATCTGACGCTGCTCGTGACAACTGGACGCACGTGGCGCCTCAGCCAGAGCATGGAGTGTTCACGCTGAACCTCTGTGGTCTGCATGCTGACAGATCTGCCTATTTCCCCTTATTGGCTTGATGCCACCTCTCTTCTGAGTAAGACACTCTAATGCTAACCGCTGAGCCAACCATATTAGCCTGTCCACTGGCTGTGCTTGGCAGGGATCAATTGCTGAGTCTGATTCTTGAAAGTGCTTTTCCTTCTCATGATCCAACTTTAGGAGTTGTTCTATCCATCCATCAATGGACATTTGGAAAGGGGCCAATCTGTGGTCAGCACTGTGGCGCCCAACCTAGCTTCTCAGATCACAGAATACATAATCTCACTTGAGTACATGATTAGGAGTCAGGGACTATATAAAGCCACATGAAGGCATAAAAGTGGCACATCTTTCTGCTATTGTTTGCTCAGTGGTCAATAAGGTTGTAAAGATACAGGAAAAAAACAAACTCACTTTCTTAAATTATATTCTCACAATACAGAATACTTCTGTGATCTGTGGTCACCAAAATGTGTGGGGATTTCTCCCCAGAAAACAATCCTTTAGCGTTTGACTCTTCAGCAGACACCAGCTGGGTGTCTTCTAATTTAACTCAATTCCAATACTAGCTACCTGGAGACAGTGTCAGTTCCCACATGTTAAGAGCTCAGTCCCATGAGACTGCCCCCCACCTCAGATACAAGTACAGCCGGCCCTTCATATCCTCAGGTTCCACACCTGTGCATTTAGCCAATCAAGGATCAAAAATATTAGGGAAAAGCCCAATAAAAAATAACAACACAACAATAAAAAATAATACAAATAATATAACTATTTACATAGAATTTACATTGTATTAGGTATTATAAGTAATCTAGAGATAAATAAAGCATACTAGAGAATATCTGTAGGTTATATGCAAATACTGTGCCATTTTATATAAGGTACTTGAGCATTTTATATAAGGTACTTGGATTCTGGTATTCCTTATGGTCCTGGAACCAATCTCCCTTAGATTCAGAGGGACAACTGTAGTAGGTTGTCACTTATACTTTTGACCAACCAGCTATAAATGAGGGGTTCCCACAACCTCCTCTGCAGGTTCTGCTGTAGATGCTCCTTGACTTCGGTTGGGGTTGCTTCCCCATCTGAATGCCTATGGCTTTTGCACCATCATAAAGTCAAAAAATCTTAAGTCAAACCATCATAAATTGGGACCATCTATAATTGGCTAGAGCAGCCCATAGAACTCAGGGAAACACTTACTTATGTTTATTATAAAGAATATTATCAAGGTTATTGGTGAGCACCAGATAGAAACAGAGAAGCATAGAACAAGGTATATGAGAAGGGGCTTGAAGCTTCCATGCCCCCTCTGGGCTCACCCCCACTCCAGAACCTCCACATGTTCTGTTCATTTGCATCAAGTCCTTTTGGGTTTTTATGGAGGCTTCATATGTATGCATGATTGACCATATCATGGCCACTGGTGATCAGCTTAGCCTTTATTTCCTCTCCCTTCCCTGGAGTTTGGGGGGTGAAACTGAAAATTTCAACTCTCTAGTCATCTGGTTGGTTCCCAGCCCCCACCCAGAGGTTATCCAGGAGCCCCACCATGCAGAGGCCAAATCATTGACATACAAGATTAGGAATTGTATGTGAAAACCAAATATATATTTCACAATATCATAAAGTTAAAACCATTTTATATCACAAAACATGTGGAGTACATTGCAGAATACAATGGCTAAAAAATTTGCATCATTTATAACATATAATACTCCAAAGAAATTGTACGTTGGTGGAAGTTAGTTTTGACCACGTCCCCAGAACTGGGGTAACAAGCTTGTTCTTCTGTGCCCTGGGGGTATCTTGGTAGTAAACCTTGAGAAGCAGCAATGTGTAGAAAGGGCAAAGGCTTTAGAACCAGACACAGCTGGATTTGAATTCCTGCTCCTGCACACTTCTTGAGAGTTTGACTTTGACCAAGTTGAGTTTAACCTCAAGCCTCAGTGACTTCATCAAACAGGGAAGTTATTTAATATGAAGATTTATAAAACATGTAGCACAATCACTGAAAGAGCCAGGAGGAGCTGTTAAAAACATGTCAGATCAAGTCATGCTTGGTTCTGCTCAAAACCTTCCCACAGCTTATTCAGACCTTTCAAACATAGCCTCACATGGCTCTCTTGTGGGTTCTAAACCTTTTGGTACATGGATCCCCTTTGGCAGTCTGGTGAAGCCCACAGGGTCCTTCTCAGAATTATGTTTTAAAATTGATGCAATAAAAGACATATTATTACAAAGGAAACCACTCATATTGAAATATACTTAAAATACTAATAAAACCCAAAACTTACACTACAGTAATATATGTGTGTCTGTATTAACACATCAAATCACACAATATAGTGTCACCTTCTGTAACGACAGTAATTTTAAGTAGTGATGAACAAACAACATTTCAGGAAATCGGCAACAAATGTAATTTGATATGAAAATATCTGATTTCCAGTTGTGAAAAGTCATATGCTATTACTGTGGGTTTTTTTTTTTCCTTTGCCTACATTCATGACTGAAGACAATGCTAAATTCCATTTAGCTGTTAGTGGAGATAAAAATATGCTTGTATATTTGAAGATAAAAATGTATTTGTTTCCATCCAAATTCATGGACCCAAGATGTCACTCACTGATCCCTTGGAGGTCCACGGACCCAGGAAAGAGCCAGCATTCTACATAGTATCCTTCAACCTCAACTCCCATCGTCATCCCCTCTGCCTGCACACTCTGGCCATCCTGACCACCTGCTCTTCAATCACATTCAACTTAGCCCACCTTACGCAGCTGCTTTTGCTTTTCCCTCTGTCTGGAATTCTCTGCCCTTGGATCTTTGCATAGTTGTGGCTGTTTCTTTCTTGCGGTCTTTATCTCAGCCGAATGCCACCTCCTCCAGGGGGCTTCCCTGACCACCCATGTAAAGCAGCACCTTCCCTTGCCTCCTCTCTGTCACACCCCCTGCTGTGCTATCCCCATAGCAGTTGCCACTGGCTGAAATGATTGTGTTCATCTCTGTATTCTAGTGTTTGTTCTCTGCCCTAAAATGTGAGTTCCATGAGAGCAGGAGCCTCACCTACAAGTTCAGTGCCATATCCCCAGCATCTAGAATAGTGGTTGGGCCTAGTATATCTTTGCTAAGTAAAAGAAAAAAAATACTAATGACTCCATGAATGTTACTTCTCTCATCTTTCACTCTGTATTTTTGGGAGATACAACGAGACAAAAGATAAGCTCTTGCCCTCAAATGGTTCACAGTCCAGTGGCAGCTGGGGGTGGCCCTGCGGAAGGCGGTGCCAGCACGGTGCTGGCTCTCCCTCTCGCCTGCACAGCCACAGGCAGACCACTCCGGGGACCCCGGTTCCTGTGGGGCCAGATGACTGGGTTGGTCTGTGGTTTATGATCCTTAAGAGTTAACAATACAAAGTGGCGCATGTGGCAGGTGAGGGATCCTGACTCTAAGTGGAGAAAGCGTCTCAGACTTGGGAGGGGTTTGAAGGGTCGTCAGTCTCTCTCCAACAAATGATGAGGAAGGGGGATTTTCAGAATCATAAACCCTCAGGTTTGAAAGAAACTCTACAGGATACCCAGCACAACCACCAGGGAACACACTGGTGGTTCCCACGAGAGTCCACTTCTGAAGAGGTAATGTAATGCCCTGGCTCTCAGATGCAACCCAGCGGGGTGGTTAAGAGTACGAACTATACAGAATGGCACACTGGCTGGGCTCAAGTCCCAGCTCTGTTTCTTACTAGCTACATGAACTTAGCCAAATTACTTGACTTCTCTGTTTCTCAGTTTCCACCCCTGTAAAATGGAAATAACAACAGTATCTACTGCATGGCGTTGTGGTCAAGAGAAAATAAGAAAATGAATGTAATATGCTTAAAATACATTCAGTAAATGCTACTTATGATTCTTTCTGCTACACAGTTTTCTACTATGGCAAACTTACTATGTATCCCCCCAAACCATTTTCCCTTCTTCCATTGTAAGTTTTTACCAACCAAGGACTATATTACCCAGTGTAGAGTTTCTGTGAGCCAACACACAACTTGATCTTACCTTTTCCTTGACATTCACATGAGTATTGAGTTCAGCCATCTTGCTTCTAATGGAATAAGCCCTATAAAGGAGAAAAAAAGATTAAAGTTTTAAAATTGATTTCTCGATATGTTATGTTTATGCTCTTTTCTGATGTAGCAAACAATTTCATTCAGTCATAATCATAAATACCATTTCAGAATATAAAAATACTTTCAAGCTAAGCATTCGACTTAGATATGTTCTAAAAGCATATTATAACTCTGCAAGACAATGTAAAATCTTTTATTCATCACTATATTGAAATGAAAAATGACAAAGACAGATGGAAATGTACCCAAACCTTGTTTCTTCCTCTTATGTAAAAGAAAGGGGTCAAAAGCAGTGAGAAGAGGGAAACTGTACCTATTTTAACTAAGCATACTCATTGTAATCCTCACAGCACCTAGGTACTTTAACAAACATTTATTGAGTGTCTCCTACATGTATATAACAATACCAAGCACTACAGAGAGAAACAGGAGAAATGTTCCAGGTTTATACATAAGAAACACTTTTGTAACTCTTCTCTCTATCTGGAAAGCTCTGACTTCAGATCTTTGCAGGGTTGTTTCTTTCCTGTAGTCTTTATCTCAGCGTGAGTACCACGTCCTCTGTCCCCCGATAGGGCTTCCCTGACCACCCTTATCTAAAATCGCCACCTCCTCTGCCTCACTCTCCACCAGTACGTAACAGTTTTTAAGCTTGCTTTTTCATTTACCAACATATCAGAAACAACCTTCCAGATCAATATGTATGTACCTTCATCATAAATTTCAATTATACCATAAATTCATGATCTTCAGTTTCAAATAGACCCTTAAAACTGCCCATAAAAAGTGTAGCAGGGAAGGGGAAGGGGATAAAGTATGATCGTTAATGGATAAAAAAATCTAGTTAGTTAGAAAAAATGAACAATATTTGATAGCACAACAAAGCGACTATAATTGATAATCAGATAGGGCATACTTTATAATAACTAAAAAAGAGTAGAACTGGAATGTTCCTAACACAAAGAAATGATAAGTGCTTGAGGTGATGGACACTCCAATTGCGCTAATTTGATTAATTTGCATTGTATACTTGTATCAATACATCACATGTACCCTATAAAGATATATGATTATGTACTCATAATAATTAAACATTAAAAATTTTAAAGACATTTTTAAAACACTGCTAATAAAGCCTTCTGTTTCCCTAAACTCTCTAGGTTTTCTGCCTTTGGTGTCCAATCCTCTTTGTGAAGTGGCCCACTCTGAGAAGATCTGTATTTATAACATTGAGCTGTGGGTTTTCTTTTCCTTTATCTGGTCAAAATCATTCACCATTATTATGGAAGACATATCCTAAGTCTTTAATGGTTTCAATCTTTTTGAAATAGAGAATAAATGACTTAAATGCGTGTGCAGATTGCTTCAGAAATTAGCAGCTTGTCAGGCCAAGATATCAATACATACTACCTATTTGCATGTTGAATGCTTTTTGTCAATCAAGAACCACTGAAACACTACCTTATATTCTTTTTGTCTTTTGTTATAAAGAGTGTCCCCACCTCCAGAGGTGATACGTGTTAGGAATAACTTGCAAAAATTCTCTGGTTTCTCCCCACTATTTTCTTTTCTACCTACCTAAGTCTTAAAGCATAAATTCAGATCCACTATCTTTAGCTGGTTTTAGGATGAAAGCTCAGCTCTGTTACCACTGAAATTACTGATTCAAATAGGAATCCACATAGACATATTATCAAATATTAGAAACAGTAAGACTTTATTTTTAGAAGTTTCCAAGTGACACTGGGTCTGGCATGTGCATTTGGGCACGCCAGCAAGGAGAGACCCTGTGTGCTTGCTCCCAGAAAGGCAGCTCTTCCCATATGCTCTGCCAAAGTGTCCATCCTATTGAAAACACCTCCTATTTCTTCCAAATGGTAAATTCCATATCCTCTGACTTCGCATACAGGAGGAAGTAAGTAATATTGGCTGAAAAGTAACACCTGAATTTTATTCTCACTTATTCTTGCCCCTGAAAGTTACTAGTAAAAGACAGGACTATTTTTTGATTATCTTTAACAGTGAACAGAGATGGTACGTGAGGTAACAGAACAAATAACCAGTGTTTTGTTTGTAAGTCACGGATGAAAAGTAAAACCTTTGGTCAGTCATCACAATGCCTGCAAGATGATCTACAATCATGATATTTGAAGACTTCCAGATGGTTGATTTTCTTATTCAAATGAAAGTTTTGGCATTATGTAAACACACAATGCATATAGAGGATTTTTCAGTGTGTGACAGTGCATGGATGTGTGCATGAGAGAGAGATAAAGGGAGAAGTATACCTATGGAACCATGAACAATTGCATGGTGGCAGCTGAAGTTATAACATTTCAGTATGAACCTGTGAGCCACAATGCCTTTCATTAGACCAGACCAGCTGAGTCTTCTGGACACATGTAATTTTGCCATTAAAGATGTGTGAAATCTAAGAGAGAAAGGATTTGTTTTGTTTTTGTATTTAGGCTTTGATGTCTAGGATTTGAGTGTGCAGCATTTTCTAAAGCTGAATGTTATAATCCACAGGGCAATCAGGGAGGAATTCCATTGAAGAAAGAAAATTTGTGAGATCTGAGGAAGTGGCGGCCCTGGACGGTAAGCTATATTCATAGGACAAAATGTACAAGTGCACACAAACACACATACACCTCATTGGCAATTACTTTTCTCTTTGACTTCAAAGTCTAACTCAAGGAAAGACTTTTCTTCGGTATGGATACCAGTAAGATTAAGCACAACATTATTTTTTTGTGGAAGAAAAATGCTGGCTAAAGAGTAGGATGGGACTACTATAGGTTTCTCAGATGGAAGATAAGATAAAAATAATTGTAGGGACCAGTTCTTTCCCCATTTTACATTCTTAATTGTTTTTTGCATGTGGAAGGCTTCCTCTTCCAGCCCCGCCTTCCAGGTGGGGTCCAGTGCCCTCTCCACATCATGGCTTTCTTTCTGCTGGCTGTTGTGTAATAAACGGATTGGGAAAGCGGCCATAGCTCCAGTTATGGGAACTACTCAAAGGGTTATAATCTAAACAGATCATAAATTTGGTTTGCCTTAAAGAATTATGAGTTTAAGTGGCTAGATAGTCAAGTTGGGTTCTGCTGATAAGGACATCCACTAGGGAAACTGTGGAAGAGGAACAGTTGACTTTTAGTGGGCCCCAAAGGTCCTCACTGAGTGTCTGCACCCTCTGATTGACAACAGTCCCTCCAGAATACTCAGAAGCGCTCCTTGCACCTGCAGGGTATCACGTGCTCATTACCTTTCCTGAGCTGACTCCTTCTCCCTATGAAAACGAAACTGTGCTGGGCCCCTATTTTGGGGGAATTCTGTTTTCTGCTATGAACTGTATCTTGCCAGTCACCTCAACTTAATCTGAATCTTAATTGTTTAACTTAAGATAGTTAAGGGACTTTTCAATATATTTTCACCTGCTCTCACATGACAGGCCCAGGGTTCAGCACCATGAAGCTTTACCCTCCAAGTGGCAGACATCTACGTTAGCCCGAGAAGCCTCCAATGCTGTGATTTTTTAGGCCCTACAGTAAGTAATAGATGTTTTGGGGAAACACACCTCCTAATTCCTTCATGTCTCACTTGGTCATCATGCTTGGTAGTATATTACTGCTACACATGACTGAATGCTCAAATCTTAACGTGTGTTGATCACAATAATTTTAAATCTACAAGAAAGGTACAGGGATCTCTGACTTCTTGAGAAAGAACCTGATTTGTAATTCCTATTATCACTTGAGACTGTTCTTGAAACAGATCAATTACTAATGGCTAACTATTCAAATCCATGGATATATGTTCTCTGCATATCAATTAATCAATACAAAATTAAGATACCTAGAAATATAGGTCTTGATATTGGTGCAACATTTCAAAACTTAGGCACTGTTTTAAAACGTTTTTTCCTAAAAATTACAATTTAGATTTCAGTAATAGCATTACAAATATGCATAGATGGCATCTAATTTTTACATATATCCTAGAAAAAAATAAGTATCAGGGAAATGGTTAAAACTTACTAGGGAAAGACATCAATCACAAAGAAAAGAATTTCACCATTTTAATATATTATCTATACACTTCTCCAGTATAAAATTAATAAACCACAAATATGGTTACCACCAATCACTTCAAGCACAAAGTTATATCAGACTGAACTACCCACTGAGCAAAGATCTTACTGAACGTGCATTAACACTGGTCAGAAAATCTATTAGCTTATAACAAAGATAAATATTTTTATGAAAAATAAACTTGAATAGTAGAAATTCTGGCAAATACATTTGCTCTGGCATTTCTAATTGATACCATTTAATGAAGTTTAATATGTATCACAAATCTGACCTATTACCTAACTCCAAGCTTAAACAATACATATGTTTCACATATAAGACATGGAAAGTTGTAATAGTGTATTGAAATGCCAAATTGCTTTCTGACTTTTCTATCTCCACTTTCCCTCATATTTTATTGTATTGCCAGTAATAAAGTTTCACTTTTGTTTCTCTGAAATCTATTACTGCTCTTACATTTACTTTCCTGTTCTCAGGTATTACATCACTTTGCTGAATTAGATTTTTCTGAATTAGATTTCAGAAGCCAGAGAAAATATATAAAATTTAAAATAATGTTTTATATAATTTTATTCAAGGCCATTTATGCCAAATTTTCCCACAATTTATAAAAACATAAAAATCACACTGCATATTTGGGGCTGTTAATAAAGTATTTCATAAATGGTCATAATATAAGTGGAAGGAGAATAAATAAATGCCAAATGTCCTGGTGTGTGGCTAAGAGAGGGAAAATGACCACTTTGATGGAGACTGGGATTGACTTCACTTTCCGGTTGATCATGGGACTCATCTAGGAAGCTCTGGAAAGAGAGATTTCTGGGTCCCAATGTCGGTTGGTGTGGGGAGTGGGGACATAAAACAGCAAGCAACTCCCCAGGTGTGCTGGAAGTGTAAAATACATCCTGCATTTCCAAGACGTAGGATGAAAAAAGGGATGTAACTGTTTCATTAACATTTTATATCAATTACATGTTGAAATAATAGTATTTTATAGAGTGGGTTAAATAAAATATTAAAATTAATTTCATCCATTTCTTTTCACTTTTTTAATGTGACTGGTGGAGAACATGTACAACTGCATGTGTGGCTGATATCATATTTCCACTGGAAAATGCTGTCCTACAACAGCGGTTTCTAAGTGTGGTTCCCAGATGAGCAGCATCAGCTTAGCCTGGGAACTTGTTAGAAATGCAAATACTCTGTCCCCAACAGTGCATCAGACTCTGGGGGTGGGGGCTCCCGCAGGGTATTCAGAGGCACAGATCCACTGGGGCCTCCTCCTGGGAACACAAAGAAGTGGCCTCTTTCTTGACCTCAATCACCACACACAAGAAACAGATTCTCCATCTAGATAGATAAATGGGGGTGGGGAGGGGGCAGTGTCCTACACATTATGTTGTTAAGGAATGGTCTTTTCACCAACATATTAATAATAATTAGCACACTTACGGAGAACTTAAATGTACCAGGCACTCTGCTTGGTGCTTGACTTTTTTCCATTTTACCCTCACAATCCTAAGAGTAGAAATTATGATTATCCCCATATTATACTTGTGGTAACTGAGGCACAGAGATTTAGTAACTAACTCAAGGCCTCACAGTCAAACCAGCAGGGCCAGGACTCAAACCTAGGCAGTCTGACTACGGGGTCCACTGCCCACTGTACCCCAGAACCATCACAAACAAGTCCACTGTCTCCATATGGGAGTAAGAACTCCGCAAGGAGAAGAACCACTGACGAGCGTCCTGCCTGCTTCTCAGGCCGGGCAGGCCTGTGATGCCTGCCTTGTACAAATGCAGGGCATACGAAATGCAGGGCAAAACCACTCAACCCACACAGGAATGGGCAGGGATGCACTTGCTATAAAGAAATGGCTGTTTTCCTGCAGCTTCCTACCTCAGGCAAGATGCAAAGAGCTGCATTAAGTGGGCCCTCAGCCAATAGATTGTTTCTTCTATGCTACGACACTGCCCAGGGATTCCATGACATCCAGGGCTACGCTTAACTGCTTCTTCATCATAAATTAATTAAAGCATCTATGTACCTGATTTTTGTATGGCCTTGACGATGCTATGATCATGTAGATGCCAAGACATTTTCTTTTGGCTGCCTCAGAGGGACTGATCAGGACTGATCTCGTGTGTGGGAAGTGTGTGCAGGTATCCTCAGAAAAGGCTTATATGTTTATTTAATGTGCATGTGGCAGTCTTTAGAATGAAGACTCAAACATATAGAGAAAATTATCTATTTTTATGTTTAGGTTTAATGTCTACAGTCATGTAGCAATATGATTGGACAAGAAGGGTATGATTTAACGTCAATAGACTGGGGAAATCTAGTGAACTGTAACCTAACTGGATGTCTAAACAGACTGTAACCTACTCTTGTGCCAATCATAGACTTCCAGCCAACCACAGGCAGCCAACTCTTCAAATAAGGCAAATGCCAGGCTGTAACCACCTCAGCGGGTTCTGTACTTCATTTTCCTTGTCCTTACGTCACTTTCCTTTTTCTGTCCATAAATGTTATCAATCCTTCCCTGTTCACAAATTGTTCATTGCTCAATTCAACTGTTAAATATAATTTGTCTAAAGTTTTTCTTTTCGCACTACTATAAAATTGGGACTTTGTCTAAATTTAATATTTAGGTTTTCTGTTGCTTAACTTTTCAATTGCCTAATCTTCTCTCTTCCGTTTTGTGCCTTATTCTTTTCCCTGGATCCTTTGCTGTTCCTGATCTGGCCTTGTAATTACTGAGGTCTCATATTCCAAGTGCTTTTGCTCTTTTTTTCTGTAGTTTAATTCCCATAGTTTTGTTCCTTAGAGGAAAGTTGCTTTAATTATAAGGAATGAGGACACATCAACAATGAACCAGAGAGTGGTGACTGAAATATGAATTTCATATGAAGATACTTAGATTGTTTTTTGTTTAATTTTGAGGAGAAAAAAACCCCTCAAGGTTGCATTTTTATTCAAAGACATTTCAATGTATTCAACCCACTGTTAGAACAACTTCACTGAAAAAGCATTTTAAGGGCAAATGTCAGAAAAAAATTTCACATTTAAAAGCTCTGGCTCTGCCTCTTTTGAAAAGCAGGGTTAGCCTTTGGTTTAGAAATGTCACTGCCTACTAAGTTCTTTGTGGGGGGAAAGAAAGAAAATTGAATGTTTTATTTAAACAGGTCATTAACAGTCAATACTTATTTGAAAAGGCCTGCTCTCAGAGGCAGATAAAAGCTTCCAATCACTTAGAATATCACTTGAGCAGATCTGGGGCAAGACGTGCTGATGCAAGTTTCAGACCTTTACGGAGAACATCTTCACTCCACGGCCCTGGTGCCTGTGCAGGAGGCAGAGTCACCTGCATTGTGCTCACCGTTGTAGACGCCGCATGTACACAGATACGGCAGAGAGGAGCACAAAGCACACTTCATGGCAGGCCCAGCTTTGAATTTTCCATTTTAGTACTGGCAAATGCTTATGAATGAAGATTAACCATTTTTGCATAAAGTGCCAAGCCACCTCCCCACGGCAGCAGAATGCAAATGGGCGCAGAAGAGCAAAGGACAGCTAAAATAAATGCGGCAGATCTCAGGCAGTGCAAGCACAGGGGGAGGAGGACGCAAGGCAGGCTTTATTAGCATTCATCTACGCCATGGTTTTTCTATTTAATTTGAAATTATTTCATTTCATAGGTCTCTGACGGCTTGAGAATATAAATAAATGCCTTTTTCTAAACGTGACCCGACGCTGGCTCCTACAAAGGATCTGCTTCTGATTGCAGGGCTTTAAAGCAAACATGTGTTTCCATAGAGATGAGGGCAACCTGGACCTGGTGCAAGTACCCACTTGTATCAGCAACTCAATTATGCTCAGTTCTTTTAAGATGCGATGATGTAAGCTCGAGTCTTTAAAATATGCCCATCCTCAGAGACGCCTCAGGAAAGGTGAAGTGGTCCGAGTTATGTGAAGCAGAGAAGAGGTGCAGAAGAATAAATGCCACCCTCTCCAAGCACGCCTTAATAGGCTCTCTGCCTGCAGATCGCACTGGTATGCTTCCCATCCCTGCCACACAGCCCACTGAGCAAATCCCAAATCCCAGAAGGCTTTGGACAAAAGATTAAGCACAGTTGTTCACACTCCACCCCGGAGCACCAAGTACCCTACCACAAACTCCACGAATATTAAAAAAATATATATTAATAACATGCTTTCCCTTCCCCCTTCTCCTTTCTCTTCTCTCTTCAACTAGCTGTGGGCAATTCCTGCAGAAAGAGATGCTTTTCCTTATTGCTTGACAAACATTCGTTAAACACTGCCGATGTACCAGGCTCTGTGGGGAACTCTGGCAATGGTGAAAACTGGCTGACACTCACGAGCTCTGACTGTATACCCAGCACTGCTCTAAGCACTTTCCAAGTATTAATTCATTTAATTCTCAGAATAGCCCTACAGAATGTATACTTGTGTTCTTGTTGTCCCCATTTTATAGAGAAAAGAAATGGAAGCACAGAGAGGTAAGCCACTTACTCAAGTCATACGGCTGTTATGTGACTCAGCTGAGATTTGAACCTGGATCTCCTAACTCAGAGCTCTTGGCCCCAAAGGAGCTTACAGATCAAAAACAGAGATAGCTATGTACACAAAAACACAGAAAAGAGCCAGACTAGGGGGTGGGGAAGGAAATTAGAGTGAGGACTAAAGAAATTGGATTGGAATTAATCTGGCTCAAAATTCTGGGCAGAGCAATGCTGAGGCTGTGGTCTGCCCGGCTTGGAAGTCTCATCCCAGAGAGGCAGGCACACGGCAGTGTTACAGGGAGGCTTGCTGTTAGCGGGGGCGGGGCTGGAGCTGTATGCTTTTTAAACTTTTTATAGCATCTTTTTAAGGACAACACTGCATATTCATCTCCAAAGAAAATATGGATTGTGGTTCTGCAATATAACTCTGGACTGGAAAAGAGAACCCCTAACTAAACCTGGCAAACAAAAGCCGTATGTTTATAGCTAACTCTGGGAAGCTGGCTCGTTTGTCATGGAATAAACACCTGGTAAAGGAACCCATCATCTCTTCAGAGCATATTCTGGATTCAAAAGCCTCCGTTCCAATAAACTCACAATATTCCAAGCTCACTAAATCAGCACTCTCCTACTAAGCATTTAATGATTTTCTCAAAGTAGCAGAGAAAGTCGGGTTCTTCCTAGTTCCCTGCAATGTTACTGGCACTGGCTGAATAGAAGTAGTATATGATGCACTGCGCTGAGTGCACTGCATTCGGTGGGGAAGAAATAGCAGGGAGCTAAGGCAGCCCCTCGACTTCCAGCAGCCCCGGTCTCCTCCTCTTCCCCACCCATTGCTGTTCTTTCTCGGGCTTCCCAACAAATGCAGCCTCAACTCACTTTTTAAGGTTTCCTGGTGTTCCAAATCAGGGCTCTCTGTGCACAGTCGGGAGCTACCGGCTTTCTCAGTGGGCAGACAAGCTCTGTTCCCCAACTGGCCACCTTTATCAACTTGCTTTTACTGCGACCAGTAAGTCATCTCAACAGTGACGCAGGCGGAGCCAGAAACCCGGAGTAGTGGCAGGATCTTGGGTGTGGCTGAGTAATCAGCAGTGGGCAGGTGGCCTTGGCCCCCTGAGGCACAGAGGAACTCACCTTCTGAGACACTGCTTGCTCCCTGTTTGTAAAAACTGCCCAGCGTTCTTGCCTTCAGTCCCCAGTTAGCAAATGCCCTGTTCTGCGTTCTTCTTATCCCGGGAAGGCACAGCTGTTAAGACTGAACTTGCAACCTTTACACTGACTGCCCCGGGGCTGGGAGACAGTGCAGGCTGGGATCACAGTCATCATTCCAAAGGTCAGCCTGTGGGTATGACTGTCTGCTGAGGGCTTCTAATCTTCGGCATGATGCCAGTACGGGCATATTAATCAATAAGCAAACATTCCTAGCACGGCACCCTGAAGCCATCTCCCTGGTCTAAAACTACTTCCTGGTTCTAGACCTGACTTGAAGCTTCTGTTAGCTAATTTTGCACTAAATGAAAAAATGTACAAATCATGTCCTGGGGTATACATTTTACTGGGGGTCGTGCTCTTGCCCAAAGAATGAAATTCTAGCTGTTGCCTTTGTTCAGTCTTTACCAGCGAAAAGCCAGTGTGAGGAGCATGAGGTGGGACAGCATCTGGGGCAGAGCAGAGGAGGGTTTCTTCCTGTTGGGCCTGCTCTACCTACACGCCAGTTAGTCTTTTACATGCTATCTGTTTGCTGGTTTGATTTGTAGAACACAAGCCCATACATTCTCTGGGTTCTTAGAAAGGCTTATTTCTCTTTAGGATCAGGCCTCGCTGGGTCCCCACCATCAGAGCCCATCTGCTGACCACACGCAGGAAGTCAGCCTTGAAAGCTGCTCCCGCCGGCCCTATGGTGGAGGCATCTATAGCCAGGTGCCTCTGTCACCAACCACAGCGTCTTGGGTCCTTAAATAATCACAAAGAGGAAACCTCTGCCTATTGTCTGCTATATAGATTCTTCCTTATGTTCTTATTATAGAAATTAAGTAATTACAACTTAGCAAGACTGACTCCCAGCTCCACCTCTTACTAGTTTTGGGATTTGAGCAAGTTACCTGATCTCTCTCTGCCTCTGTTTCCTTGTCAGTATAATGGGAATAATTATAGTAACTACCTTGTAGGGTGATATGGAGAATGAAATGAGTTCACATTTATAAAGTGATTACAACAGTGCCTGGCACACAGCAAGTGCTATAAAAGGATATAAATAGATTCCACTATAGCCTATGTGGTGCTTTCCCACTGTGCTCATTTTACAGGTGAGAATCTAAGGCTTGCGAGGTTATGGTCATGCATTGAGCTAGTCATGGAGCTGGCTCATGAAACCTGACCTTCTGACCACAAAGTCCCCTCACCTGGCTACACCTTTTCCTCCTCACCCCTGCTGACGCTGCCACCTGATGGGAGAGCTAGGGTGACTCCAGAAGGAGGGGATGGTGGCCCAAGGCTCGGGCCTGACTGCAACACTGCTAAGGGCGTATGAACTCTCCGGGCTCTGTCTGTGTCCACGGGGTCATTTGTTTTCCATGACCTTAAAACTGCAGCACTTACAGAAGCAAATCCACTGCTGTGCTGCCTCTTCCCTGCAGAGTGGATGGGAAACCCACGCTAGGTCAGTTTCCTGCCTTGTGGCTATCAGATGTGCTTAATGTTTTCATGACAAAATTCACAGCTAAAGTACTTATCTTTCGAGGAGGACAGTAAACAGTTATACCATAAAAAGAACAAAGTTCAAATAAAGTCTTTGAGCTAATTAGGGAACAATCTAAAAATCACTAAACCTCCTTCCACACATTTTGACTTTCAGGTAATTGTATCAAGATGGATAAAAGAGAGAATCATTATGATTTTCATGCCCTTTAGTTTATTCTTGTGCAGTGACAGATAATAAAAACTCATTTTGATCACTTTACGATATGCTCAAAATTCTAGAGGTCATATTTACTATCTTAGTCATTTTTCTTTCAATTTCTAACTGGAATAAAAAATAAAAATTTGTCACCTGAAATATGCTGTAATGGGAAAATTAATAAATACTTTTAAAGTACTTCAATTATACAAGACTTTAATAGATTTAATAAATTACATAAAGAATTCTTTCCTTTTAAAAAGCCTGCTTCTGATAAATTCCACTGTGTCTGTCTCTTTTCCAGAGTCCCAAGTACAATGCCTTTGACAAGCTGAGTGTGCAATAAAGACATGTGGGAAAAGAGGAATAAATGTCCTCTCATTTAATCTTCCTTTCTTGGTTGCAATGAATTCATAATCACTTATTTCCCAGTTTTTAACCACTAGTACCAAGTTAACACTTTAAATGACACCCTTAAAACCAGCATTGTCAAACACTGTTCTAGCCACATCACTTCACACACCCTCCAGCCCATTCCCTACTCTCCTCCCCACCCCATCTCCAACCTGCAATGTCTTTTAGTCATTATCAGAGTCAAGGTCTAATCATGAGCACCAAAGCCCTCCACACTTTCCTTATCGGACCCCACGTATCTCATCTCTCTAACCAGGTAACTTCCCCAACATCCTCTACTTACTTTATCTCTTCTTACTGCAGAGCCTTCTACTCAGGATAACCAAGTCACCAGACTAGTCCTCTAGTTCCTCTCTATCAAAGCCTACACTAATGTCCCAAAAGAAAGACTGAAATTTATTTTTTCTATGGAGTATGAGACAACAAAAAGTAATTCCCTTTCACCCAGTACCAAACACACACTTACTCGCTAACCTCACCAATATATACCCATGTTGCTTTAGCATAGGTATGGACGTTTATTGCTGTTGGCACCCATATGAACTTTATGAGCCCTTCTTATGGCCTGCCTCATCCACCCTGTTAGTCCCCAGCAGAAGAGGCCTGTCTACTTCGCACTGAGCTCCGGCCTGCCCTATGGAAAACTCACCTTGGGGGAAGTTCATAAAGTTCCAGATGCTTATGATGGCCTATAAGCCTTAGCAATATATACTTTAATCTCTTCCAAATCATTTTTATGAAGATTGAATGAATCAAAACTGGCTTTTGTTCTGTAGCTCAAATATTGTACAGGCCTCTCAACTAAACATAATACCATATATTATTTTCCTTTGGAAGACTTTTTTATTCATCTAATCTACCTTACAGCAATTTTGAGGTGTAAATGTATTAGGTTTCGATCACCTGTTTGATGAAACAGGTCCATCTCTCATAGTCTTTATTCCATGTATACCATTCTTGGCAGATTGACAGAGACAAGCAATCAGGGTTGTCTGTGTGTTTTTTTAAATAATGTTATCAATTTCATTATCCAACTATGGAACAACTATCCTTTGAGTGTGTTCCCCATGGGCCGGATGCTGCATGTGATAGAGGGTGTCCCTGCGTATGTGCCTATGAGAACTAAGACTCAATGCCTATTCTTGGGGGGTGTATGTTGTGGGGAATGGGGTGTCAGAACCAAGAGAAATAAGAACGTAACCAAATATTAAACAAATCATTCTGAAATGAAGACCAGCGTGTGCACAAAGTGGTTTCTGGAGGAGTGAGATGGCTTTAGTTTAGGAGAGTTTAATCAGAAAGGACTTCAGAGGGGAGGGGCTCTTTTGCACTGCTTTGATGCAGCACTTTCAAAGATGGGAATGGCATTTCTGGTAAGAGGAAGAGCAAAGGTAAAACCTCTCTGGCAGAAAAACAAGTGAGTCATGTGTGAAGCCTGAGAGAAAACCCACCTGCTCAGTGCACAGAAACCAATTAATAAATATTTACTGGGGGTCCACTATGCATCTCTGCTAGATGCAATATGTTTAGTTAATTATAACGCAGTATTTTAAGATTGGCTCCTGCAGGGAGATAAGATTAGCAGGCAGTAACCAATTAGATGACATCAGAAGGCAGCATGCGAGAAGGTGTTCTATGGTGTGGTTTCAATTATACGCTTGTCCTGCTCATAATGCAGCAACTGGTAACACCCTTGTTTTGTTTCTCTTTAGCAAACTGGAGACGTCCTTCTCATCCCATCCTACCCCAACTCTCTCTCCCACCCCATTGTCGTTTGTGGTTACACAGTTCTGAATCCATTATTCTTAAAACGCCGAATGGAAAATGGGATCTTTTTTTAAAAAAATAATAATTTCTATTTGATGCAACTTGACTTTTTGTTCTTTTAGCTTTGCAAAAACATACACTTTAATCTGAAAAATATTAAAGGGCTCCAAAACAAATAAAAGCTATGTAGCTGAGTTCCACTTAGCTCTAGGAAAGCAACTCATAAGTTATATTTAAGATTTCATTTGGTTTTATTTTTACCTGGTTTTACATCCTGGGAGATGACCAACAGCTAATGTAATGTAATTTACCAAACTCTATCTTGAGAAAGAGATAACCAGACACTAAAAGACATTTGTTTGTTTTACTAAATGCTTCTCTTAAAAACATGAGGAAGTATAAGAGAGGGAAACTGTCTTAGAAAATTAATCTATGTTTCTGAATGGCTACCCGCCAGACTTAACTTGGTTGCATTTTTCATTTCAAGCTTTCAAACAATGCATGACCAGACAGAATGAGACCACTCTAGATGCCTCATGGAGAAGGGGTAGGGACTGAGGAAAGAATACAAAGACTACATAACAGTCACAGTATTAGTTGGTTTTTGAAGGATCTGAAAGTCATGCTGCATGATGGTTAAAAATTGATTTAGCTATGACAAAGCATTCTCCTTCTTCAAACCTCTGAATAATCAGTCTTTTGCTTTATAAAGGCTCTCATGTCTGAGAGCTCCGCCACGCCTTTAGCAATAGCTGTCATTTACTGACCACGTTCATTCATTCATCCATTCAGTATTCATTGAGCAAACACTGAGCACCTGTGCCTGGCACTGTCCTACGTGCTTGGGATACAACAGTGAACAAACCAAACCAACCCCCCCAACCCCCAAGGCACCGCACGGGATGATTATCTCTCTCTATTTCGCTGAGTACTCACAATGCTCCTGCAAGGTAGGTATTAGTATCTCCACGTTATAGATGAGGAAACTAAGGCTTATATGTTAAAGATAAGGTCCCAGAGCCTGCCAAGAGCAAGGCTGAGCCTGAGACCTCTCAAACTGACTCCCAAGCTGGTGCCACTGTTTCCGTTCCATGCAAATAAAGGCAATATGTAGTATGAAAATTACCTCACAGGTTCATTCCAGCTGAGACATCTTAGTATTTATAAGATCCAGAATCATAAAAGTAAAGCTGGCTTGGGAAAAAAAAGCCAAAAGGGGAAGGAAAATTATCAATGGGAAAAACAATGTTTTCTCAGTGCCTTAAATTTTGTTCCATACTTCTTAGTGAGGACAAATCACCGCGGAATACCCTTTCCCAGACCATTTTCCATGTTCTTCCTCCCCCCCTCCTTAACGTGCTATATCCTTATGTTCCCTTCCCTTTCTTTCTGTTACATCTGGTATCTTTAAAGGGCAGGAGAAGCTGTCTTGAGAGGTAGTGAGTCTCCCACCACAGAACTCATTCAAGCAGAGGCTGGATGGCCACTTGACAGGGATGCTGGAGAGGGGATTCACTTCCGGTTCAGGAAGATGGGGGACCTCTGCCTTGTAACTCCAGAATTCCATAAGTGGAGACAATTTCATTTCTGTAGTCTTCTCTCAGTCTTTCCCCTAAGTTTCCCATGAGGCATCTAGGGTGGTCTCATTCTGTCTTAGTCATGTGTTGTCTGAAAGCTTGAAACAAAAACTGAAACCATGTCAAGGCCAGCTGATGTGCCCGAGGCAGGCTTCCAGAAGCCAATCATTCCCTTTGGGCTTTCCGTGCCCAGGAGTCTGAGATGGTCATGGAAAGTGCCTACCTTGCTGTAGGTGGGGCCAGAAATGCCTCCGATATATGGCTCTGTTAGAAAACAATGTGTGACTTACCATGTGAAGCAAAATCTAAAGAAGCTGTCGCCAGGAAGGCATAAACACCTTCTGTCTAACAGATTTTTGTGTTTGGTTTGGTCTGTAACTCAATCCAACAACTCCCATACAAAGCATTTCCTGGTCCTAACTTATCCACAGTCCTGTAAATTGGTACAGCTTCAACACCGAAGCTGCACCAGCATCTAGTAATGTTTACTCCTCTGGAATCCTGGGGTTACAAGTCACCAAGAGGTCCCCCTTCTTCCTGAACTATTAATATCAGTGAATCCCCCCACCAACGTCCTCATTAAGTGGCCATGTAGCCTCTGCCCACACAAATTCCACAGTGAGAATTCCCTGTGCCTCCTAAGAGAGCTGCTTCCACACAGGACCACTTGTGATAAATCCCAGCTGAAATGGAGTCAGCTGCCTTCCTGCAACTTCCCATGGATGTGCTAGTTCTGCCTTCAGACATTCCTTCAGTCTGACTGCTCTTCCGAAACTCTCAGATTCATCTTAAGTATGCTTTCTCTGTTCTAGTACAAAATTATTCATAGAATGGAAGGATGTTAGAGTTGGAAAGGACTTTATAAATCCCTAAATTAATTTGTGGATAAGACATTTTGTCTTGTCAAACCTTGAGAACTTTATTTTTGAGAGTGTACTCATTCCTGATGTGTCTTCTCAACCTGAGATGTCTATCTATTATCTATCTATATACATATATTTTCATTCTATGGCTTTATTCTTTTTTAAATGCAGCCTAAGATTGCATTTAGTTGATAATCACATCACACTATACATTGGTCATAATGCGCCAATAGCCAATTAAAACCCCCAAGACTTCCTCATATGATTCATCACTGAGTCCCAATTCTTTACTTTTGTAGTTAATTTTTTTTTAAACTCAAGTGCATGAGTTTATATTTGGCTCAAATAAATGTTGTCTTACTAATTCAGCTGATATTTCAAGTCTGTTAGGGTTCTTTTGGGTACCAAATCTGTAACTTTCCATTCTAGTTGTCCATTTCACTTTGGTCATTCACAAATTAAAGGATATCATTTACGTCACTTGTGCCATTAAGTAGACAGTCTGGGCTTGAATCTCAGCTCTGCCACTAGGAATTATGTGACCTTGAGGTAATTAAATTGTCTGTGCTGCAATGCACTCATTTATAAAGTAGGGATAAAAGAGTATCAACTGCATCGAACTGTTGTGAAGATTAAATAAACTAATACATATAGAATATAACAGGGTAACAGTGTTTGATGCATACAAATTCAATAAATGTCATTTATTTCTACTGTTTGCATCAAACTCATCATCATTCATGTCATTGATAAAGATAAATCTTGAATAGAACAGAAGTAGGTGTCAATATAAGTCACCCTCTGCAATCACATTGGCCCATTCTTTAGCACTCTTTGGGTTTGGTTACACAAACCTGGTTGGAATCCATCTAACTATTCTGTTACTCAGTTTTTAGTTCTCCATTATACCCACAATGAAATCCTGAGATATTGTGAAACTGCCTTGATGAAATTCATATCCCCCATATCTACCACATTTCTTCACTTCGCATTCCATTTATTTTGTTGAACAGGAAAATCACTTAATTCTGCTTGACTTCTTGGAGCCTAATGATTATCATTTCCTTTCCTGAGTATTCTTTGTTTTCAGAATAAATTCTAGAATTTTGCTGGAATTTTATATTTTCTCTTTTTGCCAATCTCCAGGCTTTAGGGCTTTCTCCAGTGACTGAAATTCTCCCAAGTGAGACAGTCACAGGTGTGTGAGGCCTGCAGACGCAATCTGGGCCAGGAGACCCCAATCCACGCCGAGGGACTCAGGATAC